GGCAGGTGTCATCTGTAGCTGGGCCAAACTTGGACTCTGTTGCTGCTTTAGTTCAGCTTCCTGGGGCTTCTCTTGGTATCCCTGCTGCACTTCAGACTTCAGCAGGCACTGCATCCCCCATGCACAGAGGGGTTTCCCCATGCACAGAGGGGTTTCTCCATGCTCCTACCCGCTCCCAGGGTGACTGCTGTTGCATGGTACCCAGCAAGGCTCCTGGAGGGGATGGGGGGTCTCAGCTATATGTGGTCCCTGTGCAGCTGAGCCTCTGGGGTGGGGCTTTTTCAGGGTTCCTGCCCCTCCTTCAAAGGCAAACCACCTCTCCTTCTGCTCAGGGCAGGGTCCTTTCCACCCCTAGCAACCCCATCATCACCCTGTAGTTGTGAACGGTACAGAGCACCACCAGGCTTCTCCAGTTTGCCCGCTCGCCCCAAACTAGGCAGGCCCTGCAGGCCTGAGCCATAGGTGCCCTCCCTGGCCTCCCCCTGCCCCAGTCCTTCTCAGAGCACTCAGTGGGGGGCCTGTGGAAAAGGATGGACAAAAGGGTACAGATCTTCTTGTGTGGGGGCTCCCAGGACTGTGAGCTGTCATGCTAGCCCACGCTCAGCCTTTGAGAGTTTGAGCCAATCTCACCTCTTCTCTTCCTGCCTGCTTCCGCGGTGGCTGCGTCCTCCTGCCTCGCTCCACCGAGGGGAAAGCCTCTATGTGTCCCATTCCTCCTCAGAGAGGCTGGTCACATCCTGGATTCCAGTGTATCAAGCTGCCTTGTGCCCTCACCAATCTGACAAACTCAAAATCAGCACTATTTTGTGGATTACTGATTGTTCCTTTAGTTCCTTTAGCCATTAGGTTTTCATGACACTTTAAAACAAATTTTTTTATGGTGGTAAAATATACTATCCTAACCGTTTTTAAGTGTACAGGTCTGTGGTATTAAACACATCCATAATGTGCAACCCTCGCCATATCCATCCCCACAGCTCTTTTTATCTTCCCAAACAGAAACTCTGTCCCCATTAGACACTAACGCCCCATCCACTCCCCCAGCCCCTGCTGACCACCAACCATCCTACATTCTGTCTCTGTGAATTTGACTCCTCTGTAGGGACTTCATATGAGTGGAATCATACAGTGTTGGTCTTTTTGTGACTCACTTATTTCACTTAGCATACTGTTCATCCATGTTGTAGCATTTGTCAGAATGTCTTTCCTTTTTAAGGCTGAATAATACCCCATTGTATGTATAGAACACATTTTGCTTATGCATTCATTTGTCCATAGACACTGGGGTTGTTTCCATGTGTTAGCTGTTGTGAATAATGCTGCTATGAACATGGGTGTACAACTATGTCTTTGAGACCCCTCCTCCTTTCAGTTCTTTGGGCATATCCCCAGAAGTGGAATTGCTGGGTCATAAGGTAATTCTATTTTTAATTTTTTAAATAACTGCTATACTGTTCTCTACAGCATTTTTTTTTCAACTACAGAAGGCTACAGCATTTTATATTCCCACCAACAGTGCACAAGGGTTCCAGTTTCTCCACGTCCTTGCCAGCACTTACTTTCTGCTTTTTGGATAGTAGCCATCCTAATAGGTATGAGGTGGTATCTCATTGTAATTTTTATTTGCATTTCCCTAATGATTAGTGACATTGAGCATCTTTTCATGTGCTTATTAGTCATTTGTATATCTTCTTTGGAGAAATGCCTATTCAAGTTCTTTGCTCATTTTTGAGTCAGATTGTTCATTGTTGAATTTTTAGGGATTCTCTATATCTTCTGGATATTAATCCCTTATCAGATATATGATTGCAAATATTTTCTCCCATTCTTTGGTTGTCTTTTCATTTGATATTGTTTTTTGGTGAACAAAATTTTAAAATTTTCATGAAGTTCAATTTGTTTCTTTTTTCTTTTATGGCCTGTGCCTTTGGTATCATATCCAAGAAACTATTGCCAAATCCAGCATCATGAAGCTTTTGTCCTATATTTTCTTCTCAGAGTTTTGTGGTTTTAGGTCTTACATTTAGGTCTTTGATCTATTTTGAGTTAATTTTTATACACAGTGTTAGATAATTATGGGTCTGATGTCATTCTTCTGCAAGTGGATATCCAGTTCCTTTGTTGAAAAGACTGTTATTTCCCCATTAAAAGGTCTTGGCTCCCTTGTCAAAAATCATTTGATCATATATATGATGGTTTATTTCTGGGCTCTCTAGTCATTCAATTGGTCTATATGTCTGTCTTTATGACCACACTGTTTTGATCACTATACCTTTATAGTAAGTTTTAAAATCGGAAAGTATGATTCCTCCAGTTTTGTTCTTCTTTTTCAAGATTGTTCTGGCCATTTGGTTTTCCTTGAGATGCCATATAAATTTTAGAATCGTTTTTCTATTTCTGCAAAAAGGAAAAAAAAAAGTCCTTGGGATTGCATTAAATCTGTAGATCACTTTGGGTAGTACTGACATTTTAACAATATTAAGCCTTCCAATCCAAGAACGTGGCATGTGTTTTCGTTTACTTCTGTCTTCTTTACTTTCTTTCAGCAATGGTTTGTAGTTTTCATTGTACGCGTCTTTCACCTCTTTAATCATGATGCTGACATTCTGAAGCATTTAAACAATTATTTTGAAGATTGTCTCTGAATGTAGCTTTGTGTGGTTGGATTTTGGCTTTGCATTTTTGGTGGGAAATCCACAGAAGTGATGCTGTGTCCTCCTCAGTGCGTCAAATCAGGAGGCACATGTGTCCTGTTCTTGGAGATATTGACTTCGATCCACCCAGTGAACGGGGCGTCTGCCAGGCTTCTCCACTGTGATTTTTCTGTTTTTCCCTTTGTAATTAATAGGTATCTTGTGGCAGATACTTTGAGACTGACATCCTGTTACTCCTCAAACGTCCACCCACCAGTTTTAGCATCCACTGATGGTTCTCACCTGAATCAGTTATTATTCTGATGGCTGTGAAACGGTGGTTTCTAAGTCCATCATTCTTTTTCCATTTTTCAGTTGGCTTCTACTATATGGTAGAACTTTTACTTCTCCCCTATGTACATATGTATGTATGTATGTATGTATGTATGTATTTTGCTCCTTTATATTAGTCTGGACTGTGAAGTACACCTGAGCGGGGAGGGGGAGGTCAGGCCTAAATCTCACCGGAGGGAAAAATGGGCCTGCGGACAGATGCTGAGGAGCCTCCTGGCCCCTGCATAGGCCTGTCTATCCTGAGCTTCGGTGGCTTGTTTGCTCCAAAACACAGGTCCAGTCCTGGCTGCTGCGTCTCTCTGCAGGCGGGGCTGAGGACAGAGCCTGCTTAGCGTGCCGGCACGTGCTCTGTCTCCCAGGGAGCTGGAGTTCAGGGCCAGCCCCAGGTTCTCCTGCTGGCTCGCCTGGTCTGACTGCTGGGCTGTCTCAGTGTCTTGTGGGAGACACAGGTGTCGGTTCTTGATTGAACCTCTTTCAGACACTCCTGCTTCGCCCGCGACAAACAACAGAAGGCAAAAGGCTTACACATTCAAGTTTGCACAGGCCAAACGGGGGGCCTGGCCCTGGCACGGTGGGCTGCAGGGGAGCAGCAGTTAGGGATTGGCACCTGTGGGCATCGCACCCACATGTTCTCAACCTTCCCAGGCACCTACGTGACCAGGGCTGAGGCCGTGGATGCTGACGACCCAGAAACAGACAACGCAGCCCTGCGGTACTCTATCCTGGAACAGGGCAGCCCGCAGCTGTTCAGCATCGATGAGCACACAGGGGAGATACGCACAGTGCAAGTGGGCCTGGACCGAGAGGTGAGGCCGCCACTGCTCCACTTTGAAAGCTGGGGACAGGGGAGACAGCGTCGCATTTAGCCCATTTTTGTCCACCTTGTTGTCACTCTTGGCTGGACAAGGGCAGCTCATTTCTGCTTGGACCCTCTGCCTCAGCCTTGTTCACCCAGATACTCCTTCCCTTACAGTTGAAGGAGGGCCCTAGCTGCTGCAAAACTCATGGTGGCTCCGGGCTCTGGGCACAGACAGCTTGAAAAGCATCTGCCTCCTGGATGGTTGTGGAGTTAGATCAACGGAGGGCTTGAAAGGCCCTCAGCACAGTGCCTGGCCCTGACACAGCTTCAGCATGTTTTCTGGCAAAGAAACTTGCTACCCTGTTGCGTACTAAGCAGTCAGGCTCATCACCTGGAGTAGAACCATCCCCTCACCTCTTGGGCCCCACAGCAACCACTCATGCTCTGGAGTGACGGCCACGCTCTGTCGGGACCACTGCTGCCTCTCACTACTGGGTTTCTGTGTGGTGTTGGCACCTCCAGGAAGCCCTCCTTGGTTTCTCCACAGCCACCTGTGTGGCTCTGTCTGGTCGCCCTCTGTTTTAGGTGGTCTTCATTCATCTCTCTCTCTCTCTCTCTGTTACGCCCCAGGGTAGCGACCCAGCTTGTCGGTGCCACTCAGTGTCTGGCATGCAGTGGGTGCTCCGTAAATGCTTATCCGACTTGGCAAATGACCTCTTGCCCACTCCTAGGCTGGAGAAAAATCTGGGTTTGGCAGCGGTGCCATCAGACCCCGGAAGGCCAAGCAGCACATTTTGCCTCAGAGATTGGGAGCAGGCAGGGTGCTTGGAGCCGCTTGGGGCCTCTGCAGCCCACAGGGCTTTCCTGTGCAGGCTGAGCCCCACAGGTGGCCTGCTCGCTGCCCTGCCCCTCAGGCCCTACAGTGGCTGGCCAGCCCTGGCCCTATGCCTACCCAGTCCCCTGACCCCATGTTGCCATCCCCCCAGGTGGTCGCCGTGTACAATCTGACTCTGCAGGTGGCGGACATGTCTGGAGATGGCCTGACTGCCACTGCCTCAGCCATCATCACCCTTGAGGATGTCAATGACAATGCCCCTGAGTTCACCAGGGATGAGGTGCTGCCACTATCCACACCCCCACCAACCTCTGCTCGGCTGTCCTTCCCTCCTTAGGCCCAGTGGGGAGCGGGGAGGCTGGGTGCTTTGGAGAAGGAGTCCTGCACGGGTAGCACAAAGACCTGAATCGGGGGTCAACACGGGCAGTGCTTGCGAGCGATAAACAGAGTCAGAAGGAGCCGGGCGAGAGGCCCTGGGAGAAGCAGCCCAGACACCCCTCTGTGTCTCCCCCAAGCCCTTGTGCAGCTGAGCCTACAGAGAGGGGCTCCCAGGGCTCCCGGGGGACAGTGGTTCCCAAGGCAAACAAACCCCTTGAGGATTCCCAGTGGGTGGGTAGCAGAGTTAGCAGGGAAGGAGGGCCTCTCTACCCGAAGCCACCCTGGTGGGTAACCACGGTGGGCTCCCCCAGTTCTTCATGGAGACCACAGAGGCTGTCAGCGGAGTCGACGTGGGGCGGCTGGAGGTGGAGGACAGGGACCTGCCAGGCTCCCCCAACTGGGCGGCCAGGTTCATCATCCTGGAGGGCGACCCCGATGGGCATTTCGCGATCCACACAGACCCCAAGACCAATGAGGGCGTGCTGTCTGTGGTAAAGGTGAGTGGGGCGCACTGCTCCCCAAGCTGGGGTCTTGCTATCGGAAGAGCTGAGGAAGGTGCTTCTCTTCACATCCTGGGGCCCTGTTTGGACTCTCTGTGCATCTTCTGGAGAGAGCACAGGGAGGGGATGGAGCCAAGACAATGGGAAATGCTGGGACTGCAGACGCACGCCACGCTGGCCACAGGGCAACAGGGCCACTCACCTCTCACAAGCCTGTGTGTTATTTACAGCGTGCTGCCACTTTTTATGTTTGTAATCAGTGTATATGAATATAGACTGCACCTGCATCAGCCAGATATGAAACCAGGGAACCGGTAGGAGGTACTTGCATACATACATGTGTGTATGCACACGCATAGAGATATAGATCTATTTAATTATTGATACATGAAGAGATTTGTTGCAGGAAATTGGCTCACGCCACAGTGGGGGTTGGTGGCAAGTCTGAGATTTGTAGGGTAGGTTGGCACCCGCCCCGGCCAAGTGACACATACAACTGACCACAAAACACCCCAAAAAATTCATTTTGAGTGATGAGTATTTATTTTATCATTTTTACATTATTCCTTGTGCCTTTTCTGTCCTGCATAATTTTAATTTTTTTTCCAAAGCTAAAAAGGAGAAGAAATAAAGTGGAGGGCTCTGAGGACAGACCCAGGGGGCAGTAGCACAACCCTGGAGGCCTCTCTCGGCCTCGTAGGCCCTGTAGCTGCCTCCAAGTGCCCAAATCAGAGGGGGGCCCGGAGTCCTGAGCAGACCACCAGTATGCTTCCTCCCCACAGCCCCTGGACTATGAGCGTTGTGACCAGTACGACCTCAAAGTGGTGGTGCAGAACGAGGCCCCCCTGCATGCGGCTGCCCCCAAGGCCGAGCGGGGCCAGGCAAGGGTCAGCGTGCAAGTGCATGATGTCAACGAGGCGCCCGTGTTCCAGGAGAACCCCCTGAGGACCAGCCTGGCTGAGGGGGCAGCCCCAGGAACCCCCGTGACCACCTTTTCTGCCCGAGACCCCGACACACAGCTGCTGCAGAGGCTCAGGTGTGGCAGAGGGAGCTAATGGCCCTATTCCTCCATTTCCCTGCCAGGCCCAAGAGCACAGCTGAGGGGACCCCGGCCCCTGTGCCCTGAGGGTTCCTATCAGGCCCCTGCTCATCGGTCTGTGTGTGTCCCTGATGGTCCAGGGGGTCTCAAGTCCCATGTATGTGCTTATTGGTGTGACGTTGTTCCTTAGGGCAGGACTGGCCTCCCGTTGGCGCACACTGACACGGCCACAGTCTATTCCGGCCATCCTCTGCGTGTCTAGCCCTGTCCATTCTGGGAATCGTTGTTCCCATGGGACTGGCCTTTAATGTCTTAGATTTCACTCCCAACCCCGGCCCTGTGTTATTGCTGTCTCCACGGTGCCCTTGGGTTGAACTATATGGATATGATGCTGTGTCATTCCGTTGCCATGGGACCCTGGGCAGCTCACCGGCTTCCCTGAGCCTCAGGTTCCTCATCTGTGGATTGGCATAGGAAACACCAGCGTAGGGCCTCAAGGGCTAGTGTGTGAGTATGCATATGGGGGATGGATGTAGGCGTGTGTCTATCTGTGTGTGACCACACCTCTCGGGAGGGAGGTCCTGTGTAGGCTCAGGGTCACCCTGTTCCTCCCCTCCTTGGCTGACAGCTACTCCAAGGATTATGACCCCGAGGACTGGCTACAAGTAGATGGAGCCACGGGTCACGTCCAGACCCAGCGTGTGCTCAGCCCGGCATCTCCCTTCCTCAAGGATGGCTGGTATAGGGCCATCATCCTGGTCCACGACAATGGTGAGCACCAAGCCAGTGCCCGGACTCCAGGGCTCCATAACCCAGGCTGGGTGTCCCTGCCGCTGCCCAAGGGCTGAGAGCTGGGCCTTCCACTGAGCAGACTTATAGCGTGGGCAGTGGGCTCCAGCAGAGGCAAGGAGCCCACCAGGCCTCTCCTGTCTGCAGCCTCCCCACCCTGCACAGCCACCGGGACCCTGTCCATTGAGATCCTGGAGGTCAACGACCATGCCCCTGAGCTGTCCCCACCATCTGGAAGCCTGTGCAGTGAGCCAGATCAAGGCTCTGGCCTTCTCCTGGGTGCCATGGATGAAGACCTGCCCCCCCACGGGGCCCCCTTCCACTTCCAGCTGAGCCCCAGGATTCCAGAGCTGGCCCGGAACTGGAGCCTCAGCCAGATTAACAGTGAGCTCCACCCCACTCCCCGCCCTGCGGGTCCAGACCTGGGACCTGAGGGGCACTCAACACATGATCCCGCTGGTTCCCACCTCAGCACACCTTCAGGTGGGGCAGGAGTTAGTTATCACACCCAGTGGGCAGATGGGGCAACAGGCCCAGCATTTCATGATCCCCATGGGGCACAAAGGGGGCATGGCCAACCCAAGAGGGCCCTGCTGATCTCTGGCACCCTCCACAGTGAGCCACACACGCCTGCAGCTGCGGCACCAGGTCCAAGAGGGGCTGCACCACCTCAGCCTGCTGCTCCGAGACTCAGGGCAGCCGCCCCAGCAGAGGGAGCAGCTCTTGAACGTGACCGTGTGCCGCTGCAGCCAAGATGGAGCCTGCCTGCCAGGGGCCTCTGCGCTGAGGGTTGGGGCCGCAGGCATCAGTCTGGGCGCTCTGGTCATCATTCTTGCCAGCATCATCCTGCTGCTCTGTGAGTGCCTGTGCCCTGGCACCCTTGGCCCGCACCCCCTCCTCACCCCATGCTTTCCTGTCAGCACCGACCTAGCCCTGTTTGCCACCTAGTGCTCAGCCTGCCCGTGGCCCTCCTTGCGCGGTTCCGGCAGCAGTCGTGGGACAAGGGACTTCTGCAGGGGCTGCAGGACGATCTCAGGGACAACATTCTCAACTACGATGAGCAGGGAGGCGGGGAGGAGGACCAGGTGAGGATGGGGTGGGGCACAGCAGCTCAGAATTCTGAGCAGTGGGAAGGGTCCCGGGGAGCCCAGGCAATGGGCAGCACCCAAGGTCTAAGGGGAGGGGCCTCCCCAGATCCTCTCCCCACCACCCTCAAATCTGTGGGACCTGTCTTGGGAAGGTGCCTGGGATGAAAACTCCACTGTCATCGATCCAGGCTCAATTCCACGCACTTCGTCTACAGGACGCCTATGACATCAGCCAGCTGCGCCACCCAACTGAGCTGGCAGCCTTGAGCGCCCCTCCGGGTCGGCCACCGCTGCGCCGTGATGCCCCGTTTGGCCGGGTGCGCCCCCCACCACCCCGAGCGCTGCCCACCAGCCCTGCTGACATCGTAGACTTCATCAATGGCGTAGGTCCCCCAGAGGTGGGCGGAGAGGGCGGGAGCGCACATGTGTACACACACACACACACACACACATATGTGCACACCACATACCCATGCCTCCGTATACCCCTGTACATGCACTGTCACGGGGAGTGGGCTCACTGCTTGGAACCCTGGTCAAACTTCCGGGAAGCTTCTGAGGACCTGAGAGCTGAGTGAAGCAGGGGGAACAAGGGGCCAAAGGCATGAAAGTCCCGTGGGAGGAGGCGGCTGGTGACATCCTGCGCCAGATAGCGGTGGGCCTGGTTGAGCAAGGCTTGGTTGGAGCCTGCCCTGCAGTGCTGTCCACCAAGCACTCCCAGAGGAAACTTAATGTCCCCTGTGGGTGGGAGTGCAGCTGTCAGCTGAGCCTAGGCATCCCAGGAGCTCCTCTGGATACAGCATCAGTGACTTCCTTGTCAACACAGCAGAGGCCCAGAACATGGGAAATCCAATTGAGTGGGCAGCGGTGGGGGGTAGCATGCAGGTACTTCTCAGTGGCATGCCAGGTGCCACACCTGACTGTACATTTAGTGCCCTGGCTCAAAGAACACCCCCGACAGATGCCCAGTAAGGGGCTGGCCCAGGTGCAGGTCCTGGTTAGGAGGGTGTCCCACCCTTCAGGAGCCAATGCATACACTGACAAGGTGAAGGGCAGAGGTGGACCATTTGCCAAACTTTTAAGAGGCAGAACCAGCTGATCTCTGGGATGGGGTATCAGGAAGCCTAAGGCAGGACACAGCCCTTGGGGAGGGCTGGGGATGGTTCTGGCCCGAAGGAAGGACAGCCACCCAGAGGGAAGCTTCTCTTCAAATATGCATACTGGGGCGGGAGTTCCCAATGGTGCTCTCTCCCTCAGGCACTCAGGGCTGCTCCAAGAACCCCCAATCACCCCTCAGACCTCTTCTGCCCCTTCCTATACCATATGTCAGGTTGCCCTTATCCTGTGCTGCAGCTAGGCTGTGTATGCGTGGGTCTTGAGCTCCTGGGGCCTCTCTGTAGGGCTTGGAGGCTGCGGACAGTGACCTCAGCGTCCCACCCTATGACACGGCTCTCATCTATGACTACGAAGGGGATGGGTCCGTGGCAGGGACACTGAGCTCCATCCTGTCCAGCCTGGGTGATGAGGACCAAGACTACAGCTGTCTCCAGGACTGGGGCCCCCGCTTCGCCCGGCTGGCCGACATGTATGGCCCTCACTGAGGTCTGAAGCAAGGACGGGACACCATGGCAGCTGAAGACAGGGAAAGGAGCTTTCTGATGGGGACCTGCCCCCACCCTGCTGAGGGCACAACCACCTGGACACAGAGGGCAAACATCCTTACCAGGATGGACAGCCTGATCACAAGGGCCCGACTAGATATGCCAAAAGCTGGCCATGTGGCTGGGAGGACCAGCTGACCTGTGTGGAGGTGGCCACAGGGTACCTGGCCCCATACCTGGGACCTTGGGCAGCCTGTTTCTCCCAGCGGAGGATGGAGTCCAGGGGCAGAGCCCAAAGCCTGGAGTGGTGCTGCAGGAAGGAGGCACCTCTCCGACACTGAGGGTCCAACAGCCCTGCTCTGAGTTGCCTGCGAGAGGTTCAGCCACCCCCATTCCCAGCTCTGCCTCCCCCCACGCAGATCTCATGTTTGTATGAAAGGAAGCAGCTCTCCAACAAATGTGAATTAAAAATGCGCTGCCTCTCCAGTGTGGGGTCTGCAGGGTCTCACTCCACCCCAGTCCCACCATGGCTATACCAGGGCGCTGGCCCCAGGGGGTGGTGGGAGGGGTTGTGGGCACCCTGGCTTGGGGTAGTGAGCCTAAAGTGGGGGCCCCCTCCAGTCCCAGGATGTGGCCTGAAGGAAGAACCAGTAAGGATGCGAAGTTCTATGGATGCCTTTATCCTCCACAAGTGGTGGTAGGGGACAAGGGTCCCCAAGAACAAGGGACCCAACCAGGGCTCCCCCTTCACACTGTCCCCATGATTCCTCCTTGAGACCCTTCTGTTCACACTGACACGTGGCCATCCAAGGGGAGGTGTGTCTGTCCAGTCAGGGTCACCCCTCCTAGACCAGCTGTGTCTAGCCCCGGCAATGGGAGGGTGGCAGCAGGGGCAGGTGGTCCTGGCAGGGGTGGCCCCGAAGAAGCGGTGAGCGACGAAGGCGGTCAGCATCCTGCAGCGAATGGGGCAGCCCTCGGCCACGGCTCTCGGGCAGCAGCAGGACACACAGCAGGGCAAGAATGGCGAAGGAGGCGAAAACCACATGTTGTAAGAAGAAGCCCCGCCGGCCGTGCACGTTGGCGAGTGGGGTGGCCGCCTGGCCCAGGAACCCGGCACCTAGCACGAGGCCCAGCCCTGCCCCCCTGCAGGAGAGGGCATAGTGTGGGCAGCCTGTACAAGTGGCTACCCTGACATGCAGATGGACCCACAGACACAGCGTGTGGCTCTGCAGTGTCCCCAGGCAGGCCTGGGTCCAGGGAGAGGCCAGCCCTAAGCAGAACCAGAGGCATGGGGGCTCCAGGAAAACAAAACAAAACATTTTTCTTTTTTGTAGAAAGCAGCTCCCCGCTGCCCTAGAACAAGTTTTGTTCTTTTTTTTTAGAAAATTAGAAAACAATCCCCTCCCCCCTCCCCCAAGAATTCTACCATCTCTGGTGGCTGTTTCATTTGTGCCCCTCCCTCAGGTCTCCATCTCCCCTTCCTCTATTCCTGAGCTGTTGTCCAGACCCTTCTGTACCAGTGTCCCCCATGTCGCCAGGAAAAGACAATCTGAACTCTGGTCATGATGGAATGGAGCAGTCTTGGGCATTAGCTGGGGGGAGGGGTGTGAGGTGTCCGATCCCCAGGGGGCTTTGTGGGCTGGGTTGGCAGGACTCTGTTCAGGCTGACGCTCACCTGATCACCGTGGGGAAGATCTCAGCTGCAAAAAGGCTGCTGAGGGTGGACACGGCCTGGGAGGCCACAAGCCCCAGGACAGAGAGGAACAGCACGGTCCAGCCCGGCAGGTCTGGGGACAAGGACAAGGCTCCCATGCTGCCCACAGTGGGCTGCTCCAAGGTCCTCCCTTTCCTCATCCAAGTCTCAGGGGTCCTGCCAGGCCTGGCCTTTCACCCCAACCTCTCACCCCTGCACCTGCACTTGGGGTTTGGGGTCAGGCATTCCAGCCTGTCCTGTCTAAACCAGACCCTTATATTCAGCCCCTTCGTGTAGATTATGTTGGTCCTTAGCTCTTTGGGCCTCAGTTTCCCTAGCTGCACAGTGAGGAGATGTATCGGGGAAAAAGAACAGCAGCCTATCCCAACACCCCATGCTTCTCTCTCACAGCTCCAGGAGGGGGCTGATCCCAGGA